GTCAGTAGCTCATTCTGGTTATGTGCCAAAATGACAGGTACACTGGCAGTGCATGTCTACACTGGGAATGACAGGTCAGTAGCTCATTCTGGTTATGTGCCAAAATGACAGGTACACTGGCAGTGCCTGTCTACACTGGGAATGACAGGTCAGTAGCTCATTCTGGTTATGTGCCAAAATGACAGGTACACTGACAACTGCCTGTAGATCTACATGGCACCATTTAGCACGCACTGGCAACCTGCAGCAGCAACACCAACTTATCTGACATACAATTAGTATACAAGTTCAATTTGGCTATAGTTTTTCAGGTAATTTCATTACCTTTCTTGTTTTATTAATATCACAAAGTTACTTGCATATCGCGATGTGATATTGTGCATGAATTCACTTATTTAAAATTTTAAGAACAAATTCTGCAGAACATTTTTAATTCGACAACCTAAATATACATAGGAATATTACAGCAGTAGCACAATCAGATTCTCTAGATTCAGAGACAGCCGATGTGTTCACCCTTATTTTCAACGAGTCTCTGGCTCAGTCTGTAGTACCGACGTGTTTTAAAAAATCCACAATCGTCCCGATTCCAAAGAGTAACAAGCCCTCAAACCTCAATGACTATCGCCCTGGGCCTTAACATCCCTTGTCGTGAAGGTGTTCCAGAGACTTAAGAACTTCATCTGTCCTTCCATCCCTAACTCCATCGATCCACTGCAACCGCCAGATCTGCCTTACCCTCCCTACAAGAAATCTACACCAGCCGCTGTAGGACCAGAGCAACAAATCTCCAAGGACCCCTCCCACCCCAATAACTCTGGTTTGCCTGCTGAATTCAGGCAAATGCTTCCGCAGCCTTATGACCAGAACTCAAAGGTCAAGGAGGAGCTTTTTCCTCCAGGTCATAAGGCTCCTAAACCAGGGCGAGGCTCAGTGCCTCTAGGTCTTCCACCAGACTCTACAGTGACTCTCCAATCACTGTAACACTGACATAACCCTATGAGTACTGCTTTCACACTGTCCAAATTGTTGGCACATACCTCAGTCCTCTTGCACACTGCACTTATATTGCACAGCACAATAGCTCCTACCTATCACTTATGTATAGATTATGTACAGCTGAACATTTCAAATATGTTTTCTATCTAATATTATTATTTTTCCTTGTTTTTCTCTATATTTTGTTATCATGCACAGCCTCTCTGAGTGACCAGGGTCACATTCCACTACATATTGTATGTGTACAACTGTGTATGTGACGAATAAACCTCTTGAATCTTACACTTGTTGCTGTGAATTGAGCCAGTAGATTCAAAGCAGACAAAATCAATGTCTTGTTTGTTTACTTCACTCATTGTAGTTAACTTTCTCACAAATGCACCATAGTCAGCAAGGACAAAAACGATTATGATTGGCTCACGTTGAGTTCATGCAAAAACAACGGAAAAAAACTTAACGGATAAACCACTATTGTTTTCCAGACACATTCTTGAATATTCGACAATGCTGACTCATCCCGAATGCCATATAATAAATCAGCAAGCCGTCATGTCATCCATATACAACTATATGTTCTTCTAGGACCACAGTGCGAGAGAGAGACACGCACGCACACCTCTCTAACAACAGCTTACACTTTCTCACTTTCAAGATAAAATCTCTGTTTACTGCAAACAAACTGAGTAACTGCATAGAGGCTGGATGTGAGACACACTGCGGCTACATGGAACCATTCTGTTTGGATCTATACACTGGCAGCAGCTGTGCAGGAGGCACTGCGCTTGTGGGTAACCGACTACGGCCTCATCACTGTCCGCTATAAAAATACGTAACAAAGCTGCCCAAGGCATTACAAAAGGCAATGAAAATAAAAACGGAAAAACATTACCTATTACTGAATATTTACTGTTCTCTCAACAGAACTGAGCTAAAGTTAAATCTTTTTACTGGTTGAATTAACTTTGAAAGGGGTAATGCA